TCTTTGCAGTTGATTGAAATAATCGACGCTGACCCTGCCATTCCTGCGTAATATGTGCGTCCAGATTTTGGTCGGCGGCCACCAGGATAAAGGAGGTGAACGTGTGTAATAGCAAACAGCGGGATGTACGCAATACCACCTTGTCCACCACATCGCGCCTGCACTTGCACTCGTTCGACGCTGTCGTCGATTGCAACGCCCTCTGCTTCTGTCTTCGCGAGCCGGGCGCTCGTGTACATGGCAAAAGGCAGCGGAAGGTTTCTTCTGTGCCTGTCCTCGCTGCGAGTCAACCGATATGTACGGCGTGCAAAGCTCGAACTTCCTCTTGTTGGCGATGCGAGCATGACAACCCCGCGTCAGATTCGGACGGAGATTGCTTGCTCGCCGAGAGTCTCAAACACGAACTGAGTACGGACACCATGACTGGAAATGCTTTGCCCAATACAATTTATTTACACCGGGGAACGTGTACACTGTACTCCAGTGTAAATAAATTGTATTGGGCAAAGCATTTCATTTTGATCAGGGTAGTGGTGGTGGTGCCGACTCGGTCCAAATTTCGAGGACATCGTCTTGGCCTTCTGCTAGGGCAGCTGGCACAAAAGCAAAATGCGCGGAGCAGATCCGCAGCGCAAGATTTGGTGGCTCTCCTCTGCGAGATTCGCAGCTCCCAGCAGTGGTCTCACTTGATGGATCCACGTGTAAGTGTCGCGGCAATCTCATCTCCGCTTCAATTTTGTTGCCCGCATTCGTACATCTTACAAGAAGTGGCAAATTCTCGTCTCGGGGTGTTCGATAGCAAAGCCGGCTTGATGTATTCTCCGGTACGAATGACTCCATGAGTCATGTTCGGGCATGACCCCTTGACGTCTTTATGCTGCATAAGCTTGTGTTGAGTCCTACAAGGTGTTGGGGAACGAGATGCTCATGTTGAAAGCTGTGACGTGTGAAACACATCTGTCGAACATCTAAATGGCTAAAAATGACATGTGGAAGATGGCTACACTCCAAGATACTATTTTCGCTGTTGGTATTGATAGGTATCTCCGTCGAAGTTATAGTTGAGGACGTCACCGACGCTAGAGATCTTTCATGACTGGAGGAGATGGCATTCTTTCATCCTCCCTCCGACGAGCATGAACGTTTGGGCCCTTGATACCAAGTCGGTAGCGCCGCGCGTTCCAGTGAAAAAGACGTTCTTCGCCGACGAAGTTGAAGTGGTATCGACATCAGGGTGGGGAGACGACACGAAATCTCAGCGAAGGAAGCAACGAGGGAAGGTTGAGTTCCTGGTAGAAGATCAGCTAGACAGTGACGATGCACATGACATGTCAGGTAACGCTGCCAATAGTAGCACGGTCAACATGATAAGTGCCAAGGCCAACCAGATCAGCTCTGCGGACGTCGTTGAAGCTGTTGATAGTGAAAAACGTGCTGGGTCGACGAGTTTGAAGCAGGAGCGACAAAGGAGCAAAGAGAAGAAGCGCGAAAATTCCGCGAGGTCGAACCAGGAGATCGCAGTGCATCATCTCGTTCGCGAATTCCTGCTCATGCACTGTCACGACGACGTTGTTAGAATCCTCGACAAAGAACGTGTAAGTGGATTAGTGCATGTCTGATGTAACAATTCACTAACTCTTTTTTTGCAGTCTATGCCGCAGCTCGGTGCCGCAGAGGTCAAACAACTGAGTCACCGCTTGACCGGTACAGACAAAACTAGTGAACACCCGCCAGTTCCGTCTTCGCTGTTAGAGCGCTTTCTCGCATGCTCCAACGAAGCCAAGGTCAAGGCAAGAGTAAGACGAAGTGCCACGGTGAGTTTGCTGTATTTTAAACACGTGTATACGTTGTATCTTAACTCACAGGTTTGTTGTATTCAGGAACGACCTGTACCAGGAGAGACGACTTCCTCTAAGAGCTCTCCAACCAGCCGAAGAAAGCCTGAACTAAATGTGATCACGAGCAACTTGGATCAAACCGCCAGCAAAAATGGTGCTGCCACTCCTGTCACCAACCAAGGTTATAATCGCCTGAACCATCCAGGATCCACACCACACCATGGACCCGTCGTTGGAGAACCAGGATCGACGCCAATGCCTCGCTCAAAGGACTTACACCTTTTCGGATTCGAAGAAGTCGACGACGATGTGGAAAAATCTGCATCCGACAGCGTAGCTGAAGGCGATGATGATGCTGGTGGTGATACAGACCAGTTCTCACACTACGCTCTGCGGAAACGCACGTCAAAGACTGGTCTGAAACGCGTACAGTTGGGAGATCCTGGAAGTACTCCAACCAAAGAGTACATCTTCTTCCGAGAAACTCCTCCTTCTTTTGTGACGGAAACCATTGAAGACGCAGTCGAAATATTCGAGAAATTGGGCAACAATCCCGAATTCGTGAAGCAAGCAGTGGTTGTCGAACGGTTCATCGAATTGCAGAGCAGTGAAGTATCCAAGTATACAATCGGTCAGGTAGTTGAAGGACTAGGCGCACAATCCAACATCAATGGCGTGGTGTCAAAAATTTACGGGTCGCGATTATGTGGGACGGCCGGACAGGGAACTATCGTGATCGACACTTGTCCTGAACAAAATA